TGTGTGTGTGTGTGTGTGGCGTGCGGGGGTGGCTGCCTGCATGCCTGTGTGTGAGGCTTGTTTACTGAGGTAGTGAGGCTGCCATTTTTTCTGTCTGCGAGAGTCAGAGATCTCCCAGTGACACACAAAGAAAATGTTTTTGTCTTCTTGGTTCGTAACCCACATCATCAATGGCTCAGCACAGCATGACCTCCTTTCATCCCCTGGCCTGACTCTTGTCTAGGCCTGGGCTATATCCTCTGAGTACAGGCCAATAATAGAGCTCTCACTCTCTCTCTCTCTCACACACACACACACAAACACACTCACTAGAGATGTTACAGCTCGGCCGCATAGCGTAGCTGCATGCTAACTACTCCTCTCCTCACCTAGCTGAGAATACAGGTGTAACGTTGATCTGTGTGTGTGTGTGTGTGTGTGTGTGTGTGTGACAAACGCTCTCTTTAGCAGGACAGAGAATAGGTGTACGACAAGCAGCAGTTTCCTTGTTTGCTCCATTTCTTGCTTCCTCACTCGTCATTTTTCCTCCCTCTTCACCCTCACTCCCCCTCCCTCTTCAACACTCTCTGCACCCTCTGCTTCCCCTCCCTCCGTTCCTTCTCCTCCTCCCTCTCCGAGCAAGTTTGGCCCAGGGAGACAGGTCGGCAGCGCCACTGGTGTGTTACTGTCCCCATGGCAACCACCTCCTACCCCCTCTCTCTCTCTCTCCCTCTCCCACCAGCTCATTTCTCTAAAGCACATGCGTGTGGGTAAACACACACATGGTTATTCAGACCTGCACCCACACACATCTCCTATGCCATCCAGTCCCTGGCTCTAGCGGGGCTTGTTTGTTCCACACACCCCTGTGAGTGGTATTTGGAGAGTCCCTGCCCTGCTCCTATTTCAGTGCCTCCCTCACGCGGTGTTGATGTCTCCCAGCTAGGTGCGGCCGCCGTCGCCAAGGCACGCCATTGGCCAGAGCCGATGCCGTCTCTTCCTGTTAACTCAGTGACCGAGTCCCTGTCCAGACATCTGCCTGGGCCACTGCCCTGTCCCTTGCTCTCTGTGGCTCTTGTGTTTGGCCTCAGAGGCCTGAGGCATGCAGGGCTCCTCTATTCACTGTAGGCAAGGCAGACAAGGACACAAAAACAGGGGTTGAAAATCTGGCAGATGCTATCTCTGTCAGAGAGGACTGAAGAACCATCTCTATCCCCAAGTGTATTTAAGATAACTATCAAGTCTGCACCCAAACACAAACCCTTCGCCATATACGAGCCTCTGTACCAAAACGGACATCCTTCGCCATGTTTTCTTCTGTTCCAAAACACAAACGTCTTGCTAGTTACTTGATTTACTCCCACCTTAAAAACAGACATGGCTCTGAACTAACCTCCTGTCAATCAACTCCAGGCTCTCACACACTCACACCTCATGCTGACAAACGTGGCTCACCACTCCACAAACGTTTACACATTTTGTGCATCGGAACTTCTTTCCACTACATTTCAACCTTTATACAAAACTGGCAACAATAAGAAAACCTCAACAACAGTGTTCCTACAGTGTCATTCCGTCTGCTCCAGAGTCCCATTTGGGCTGCTCTCAGGTCAGGGAGTGGATGACTGTGTGGGCTTGCAAACGGCTGCACTGCTGTGGCCACTGCCAGTGCATGTGTTAAAACTGGGTTGGGAGAGGGGAGGGAGAGAAAAATGGCGGAGCACCATGCTCTGTGCTGTCCAACCTAAAATGGCTGACATCACAAGCTGTTAACCAGCCAAGCAGAGCAAGAGGCTGCTACTGCTGCTGACCCAAACCTGCTCGCTCTCTGGACGTGTGAGTGGATCGCACTGCTCTGCCCCCAAAGACTGTGAAAAGGCTCTTGAGTAAGCAGCTGAGTCTGTTTTTTTTTTTTTTTGTGGTCATACTTGGTCGAGATCTGCAAGTTAATTGTCATTACGTGGGTCAACACATAAGAGGAGGCGAAACTCAGTGATGAAGAGTCATTACTGAAGGACTGACACAAAGTCAGCTGATCATTCCATGCTTTAAAAAAAAAGGGGAAACCAGTAGAGCAAAACAAAAAGATTCTCAAGGATGTGAAATGAACAACCCGCAAACATGATTTCAGTAAAGTGGCGGATCAATCCTTACATACAAATCCACTCAACCTGTGTCATCTGCAAACCTACAACTGAGGGGAAGAAAGGGAGGAGAAAGAGGGGTGGGAGGTGGCGGTGGAGGGGTGAGCAATACTGTGAGATGTACAAAGCAATACGGCATGATAATAATCATCATCATCATCATCACAACAATGACAATAACAATCATAATAGTAACAACAACAAACTTTTGCACAGCTGTTATGAACATCAGAGATTGACAATTCTTCATATCCAAGGAAAACATACCCGAGTGTTTTGTTTCTTTGTTTGTTAATCAACAATAGTGTAGAAACTGGTGTGTTCCACTAGTAAAGGTGTACCGGGGTTGATAGGTGGACTAAGCTGCTTGTCTATATGCCTGGGACTCACGTGGACATCAGACAGAAACTAGCTGTCTGGGAAAGCTTTGCTCTAATCCCTGGAGTCACACACTCATGACAACACTAACATGATAAATAACCAAGGCAACAACAGCTTGCAAACTCATAACTGGCTGTTAGGCAACATGGAATAAAAGCACAAACTCTGCTTATAGTTTATGAAGAAGTGTGGCAGCTGTGATTTTTAAAAATCTGTGAACACAAAACATTTGTATCACCTCATGACATAAATAAAAGAAAAAAGAAAAATACAGGCCTAATGACACGAGCTTGTGGATAAAAGGGTAAATTACATGATGACTTATCATAGCAGCAACTCTGACGAACAATATTAGTCATAGGAGAGGTCAAAGTGATTTCTAACTTCTTCATTCATACCACAAGCCTGGGGAACTGTGGGAATCCTGCCTTTTTGTTTACGCGATAATCAAACAGGTCAGACTCTAACATGAATCGACAACATCAAATTGCTACCAGCGCGACAACAATGTATCCACAAATGTGAGCAAGTAGCGGTATTTGTATTAAATGAAACAGCAGAGAAGTGGTCGGACTGTATCGCTCAGTCCCCTGAGCGCAGCAGCGTCAAACATTTCCGAAAATGATGCGTGTTCATCTTCCGCTCAAGTTAGGCGGAGTGAGCCCCAACTTAATGGGCTTGACTACATTATAGGTTTTTTAAAAAACGGTAACCAATTCAAGAGTGGAGGAAAGACGAGCCCCCAGCCCAAAAAACTACTCTCTCCCTGTCTCTCTCTCTCTCTCCACCCCCCCGTTGCTGTCGCCATTTTAAGCAGGCGACATGCAGCTGGCCAGCAAAAGCCCGCAAAGGTAAGGCTTTCACAATAGCTCGCACAAGTTTGGGGGGGGGGAGAAAGGTGAAACACTTGTATAAATGTGTATCATAAAACCACACTCACCTCGCTTTTTTGTCGGAGCTCAGTGTATGCAGCGCAGGGTTTAAAAAAAAAAAAAAAAGTTTAAAGTGATATGGGGCTCAGTGGAGCCAGAGACTGACGGAGGTTGTTTGGGCTTCACTGATGGCAACCTTATAGGTGTAAGCCCCCCTCTGTCCATCGGCTGCTGATAAACGTGACACTGGAGCCAGACCGGTCCTTACAACGGCCCCTTTTTTTTTCTGCGCTTGTTTATTTCGAGTGGCTCTCAGTGTTAAAAGCAGGCAGTGGAGGGAGGAAATAACGACGGACGTACCGAGGGAAGAGACGGACACGTGACGCAGACGTCACTGACGGTGGAGTTGGCGTGAGAGCTCGAGCTCCGCCGTGCAGAGAGCAGAAGTGAATCAGACATCCCGTCCTGACTTTGACCCAGCACTATAAGGGGGCTGGTTAGGGGGGGGGTCGTGGTCAAGTTTTTAGAGGGGGGGGGCAAAAGCATCCTCTGTCTCTGGTTAAACGTGATGTTACAGCAGCTCACACCTGTCCCCTTTCCCAGGTGACTCTCTTAAAGAGATAGTACAAACAATAAGCCCCCTCCCAGCCTTACCCATAAGTATCCTACTGTGCACCATACCACTAATATACACAATTATTTAGAAAATGCATGAAATACACAATAATGTTCACTATGTAATGGACTTTACTATTTCGCCCTTGTTGCCTCCAAGTTCACATTTATTTTGCACACACACAGCAAAAGTGAGAACATCTCCTGCAACCTGGTTTTCTGTGTGTCCGCTTGGTAATTTCATTAAACGCAACTTTATTTAGAAAAATGCACAATGTGACTACAGTATTTAACTTAAAAAATAAAGGTGTGAGGAACAGATTTTGAACTGTGTAAGAATGTAGTACCCAGTGGATATTATACTTCAGAGATGCAAATTCCCTTACAAATTTGCAACTAATCAAACTACAATAATAAAAAGAAAACGGCTGACACACCTCAACCTGAGGCCCTTTTGGGGAACCAGGGCAGTTACCTGCTTTGCTTGGCTGGAAATGCAGCTTTGCACAGACACATTTAAAATCCTTATGCATAGCCGTAGAAAATATGTATAACTTTAACAGTACTTAATGGTGTACAAGTAATGTTTCTGTGAATTAAAGCTGAAATTAAGATGAATTAAATGTTAAAAAATTGCTATTTTAAACAGCTTTTCTATTGAATTTATCATTTAATTGTTTCTTTTGTATTGATTTTTAGCCTATTGTATTTATTGTTTCATGTTTATTTTTGTTTTTTCACTTTTACTATGTGGAGCACTTGTTTGTTTGAAAGATGCTATATAAATAAAGTTGACTGACTTGAGTTTAGAGTCAAATTTACTTTGTTGTTTCCTGTGAAAGGGACGATATGTCCTCCTGACCGTATCCATTTGTGTAGCCCCTGTTTCCACTATTAGGTACACTTAGACAAAACTAATCTCTAATGTTTAGTTTTCATTGATATTAATGGTGGCTCAAATAAACATCTCCCAGTATAGCAGCACAAATACAACCCTCCAAATTGACCATAAAGTTGAGCACCTCTCTTAAACAGCTTATAAAAGAAACCCTGAACATTAGGATTTAGTTTTACAGGGCTGTTGTATTAAAGTCTATTAGTTTTTCTTAGAGTCTTAGACTCAATTGTGCACCTCCTCCAAAAAGTGGATGAAAAAGTTACTCAGTTACAGTAGCACATGTGGTTATTTACTATCATAGCAGACAAATCTTTCCACATATTAGTTACCTCAGGTTAACTGTACACTTACAGTATTGCACTCACATCATATAAGACTATTCTAAGACTATATTGATTTTTCATTAAGCAGTGTTTATTATGCATGTATGCTATTAGACTCAAATTAAGGATGACGACACAGCTCCCACATCTTCCTGGATGACTCATGCTTAGTGGGTCAATTTTTAAGATTGAAAAGAGAAATTGAAATACACTTATTCTCCTCCTTCTCTAATATCCAGGGGGTTACGAATTTATTTATAATCACATCGATTCCAGCATCTGATATCACAACATACAGATACTAATGTCCTAAGAAATATATTAAAATATCATCCATTCTGAGATGAGAGAACACTGCCATTTTATTCTGGTTCAAAACAATAAAGAGGTGTATTTCCATTTATCTGACCTAATTTAAATTAATTTAAGTTTTATTTTCCACACGTGAGATCAGATTGCCAGTTCATTTCCAGTGTTTTAAACTCTAACCTCATAGGCCTTCTTCCATCAAATCTGATCACTCAAGAGTCAATTTCTAATCACATTATTGGCCTTATCGCTCAACTTACACCAGTTAATTAAATAATATTAATTGTGGTTATCTCAAATAGTGTTGTTCAAGAAAGGATGGAGCCAGATAAGACTTTTACAAAGTAGAGTGAAGCTCACCATCATAAAAGAAGCCCTCTGCTGGACAGAAGAGAGAATGACAGACAGATTTCAATGAGTTCAATTCATCCATTAAGGATCAGTTATAAAAATGGTCATATCATTTAATTCCAAACATTTGTTTTACTTCAACATCCCCTTCAGACATGTATTAAGACATAAATATAAATAGTCTTCTTGGATATGTGCTTGGATATCTCTAATTTCAATTTTAAAATCCACAAAAAGGCATTTACTCTTTCTACCTTGTACAAATCTAAAGGTATGAATAAGCAAGTTTAGTAAATTATTAAAATTTTCCATCTGGATAAAAGATGTCTCCTTAGCTTCACTGTAAAGTCCGTTCTCAGTGTTTGTGCACTGGTGGATTCAAGCTTCTACATCACACTTATATATATTATTATAAGTTGCATAATGGACCAGGACTGACTTCCAAAACTATTTGTAATGTCACAAATCATACTCATAGCCCCCCCCCTAAAAAATCAGAATTTCAAGAGAAACTTTACACTTTTAGCAGATAATTGTGAAAACATCCTTCCTGTATCAAACTCTGCACATACATCATTCTGCACAGTGACGCTTAAACATTCAACTGTAGCAGCAAGAAGAGAAACATTAATGAAAACGTTAATGAAACTTGATTTGTTTATTTAACCGCTACAGTTAAACAAAACTGGATGTCAGAAAATAAAACTTATGTGCATATTTGTAACGTGACAAAGACGAAGTGGTTCTCAACTTTTTTTTATTTCTCATTTGCATAACCTCTAGAGGCCTGAAGGAGTAAAACATTCTAGTATTTCACATGAAATAAGCAAATTTTAAGTAAGCAAATATGAGTTTCAGAACAACATTGTCACTCTTTTCTGTCCCATTAATAATCTCATGATCGTTAAGATTTATCTCTCTTTCAGCTCCGAGGTTGGGAACTGCCTTTTACGTCTGCTGACAGCTGTATATGTTTGATCAGCCCATGTTTAGTTTTTAAGATATCCCACTGTGACATATAATGCTGTTTACACATTTATTTAATGACAGCAGCTTCACATGAAAGGAAGGTTGCAAATATATATAATAATCAAATTAGCCACTAAATAATAATGAATAATAATAATAATTGGAAAATAACTATGACAGACAATGTCCCAGCCGGAGGGAAAACCCTGGAGCAACATGTTACATACTGAGCTGCCTCCTCTTTTTGATTTTTATTTGATCTCTGCTCATTATTACCATTGTATCATCATACAACATCACTACCAACTGCAATTATATAGATAAACTATATATAACTTATTATAACTTCTTAGTTTTATATTAGTTGTTTTTACTTGTGGCTCCAACAATTAATCAGTTAATCAACTGAAAATTGATCAGAAATTAATTAAATAATAATTTTTAACAAGAAAAAAGCCAACATTTTCTGTTTCAAGCTTCTCAAATGTTAGTACTTTATGTTTTTTCTGTCTTCTATTATTATAAATTAAACATCTCTGTTTTTTGCACTGTTAGTTGGACATTTGGACAAAAAACATTGATTCAACAGATCAATCCCTAATGAAAATAATCATTAGTTGCAGCCCTGATATAATGTGATTTCTGTAGAAATGCTTTGTGTCTGTGTTATCAGATTAAAACATTAAAGAATTTCTTACCATAAAAAGGGAATAAATGTTTATTTAAGTATTTATTCATCCATACATATATTTTAGTTTTTCTTTCATTATAATATATTATGTTTTTGCTTTATTAAACACATTGTGAACCTCATACAGCCCTGATTTGCCAACACTTACAGCACTTACAGACCCTGACCGCTGGGGGTCGCTGTGGATTTTAAAGCAGCTCCTGGCAACCGCGGCGCAGAAACGTCGCACTCTCTCATTGGCTGCTGTCGGCTGGGGTCAAACCACATTGCGCAAGCTCAGATGGCCTTTTTCGGTGAGCGACTGAAATCTGTCAGATCAGCGGAGCGCACATTCCCCTAATACCTTCAAATATCTCCCAGTACTTTCTTCCCCTAGACAGCGCTGGAGGCGTACATCTAACCCGAGGTGTGTTCAGCTTTGGATTATAACTTTTCTCCGTCTGCAGCCGAAGGAAAACAACAAAGAATGACGAGCAGTTTAAAGCGGAAAGAAGAAAGTCATCTGCTGAATGGAGGTGTAAAACAGTCCACATGGAGCAAAGCCTTCAACAGTAATGCTGTTTGGGAAGAGAAGGTCAGTCCGTTGCCCTTTGAAAAAAGAAACTTCAGCCCGGCACTTGCATTGTTGCTGTCGCTATTAATTGCCCCAAAGTTCACAGTGCACCCAGTTTGCTGGCAGGTGTTCATAAAGGAGGCTATCTGCAGCTAGCTGCCATGCTAAGGATTTAATCAGATTTGGCTCAAATGGAAAGGAAAGGCGTTAATTGTCTCAGCGATTTGGGTTTAGTTAAATGCTAAACAAGCAGGTGGACGATATGGAAACGGTGCTGGCTTTTAAATGACTCCCCTATTCACTGGATTCAAGGGATTCAGTCAATTAAGTCCCTTTTTTAAATGTGTCATAATGTTCTCTCACATTATTTATCTATTAGTTAGATTTTTTTAATTGATTGATTCACTTTTAGTCTGTAAATGTCACATTTGAGAGAAAGGAAGCACACAATGTCTGACTTCTTTTGCTTTAAACATGGCAAATGATACATCAATCATCACAATTGTTTAAATGTATTGATTAATAATTACTTTCCCAAGCTTATGTTAAAATATGTTTCTTCATCAATTTGTTTCCCCCCTTACCTTAACCCCAAACCCCTACCACTCATCTCAGCAACACCTAATCATAACCTGAGTTAAGTCTAAGTGAAGCTTTAACCCTTGAAGGAGAAACCGACTGTGACACAAGACTGTTGATACCGTTGGCTGTTTAGTCAAAACATTAGATTATTCACTCCTGGTATGAACAGTTTGTTGTTTTTCCTGTTGGAGGAACTATAGCTGGACCTGATAACCTGCATCAGGGCTAGATGTTGACATGCCTTTTCATCACATACAATAGAAAATACATTTTCTACATAAGTAACGTCAGAAAAAGAACATGAAATGGGTATTGGCAGTATACGAAACTAATGCTTCCAGACGTGGTATTGTTCAGTACTGGCATCACATCATCAAGTTATTTTTCTGTATTTTTCTTTTACAGGACGAGTTTTTAGATGTGATTTACTGGCTTCGGCAAATTATTGCAGTAATCCTTGGTGTGATATGGGGTGTTGCACCGTTGAAAGGATTCCTCGGAATAGCCATGTAAGTATTCTTTACAGCCAGTCTCAACCTTTCACCTTTAACTGAGCCAAGAGGCCTGTTCATATCTGATTGCACCAAAGTAAACAGAGAAAAATTAACATCTTCGTGCCTTTTATCTTCTCAGATTCTGCATCATCAACGCTGGCGTCCTGTATGTATACTTCAGCAGCTTTCAGCAGATTGATGAGGAAGAGTATGGTGGCACGTGGGAACTCACCAAAGAAGGCTTCATGACATCTTTTGCTCTGTTTCTGGTGAGGATGCTAATATTTATGGCAACATATAGACTTTTTGTAAAGTATTGTGAATTAGTTTAGGGTTTCTTTAGAAATACAAGTTAAAATATGGCCTAATACTTATACTCAGTAGATGTACATATGGTAACAGTTAATTCATCTTGGATCTGTCAGATTCAGTTGAGTAGCATTGTTTTAGGTGCAGATGATTTACAAACTGCATTGGCATCTTATGCTCACTTCAGGTTTAAATAGAAATAAAGACTAGTGTAGCCTGAGTCAGATGTAAGACACTATTAAAAAAAAATGGTAAATTGTACATTGGTGTTTTTGAAATGGGCAATCTTGTTTCTAAAATATTGATAGAAATGGCAAATTCTGGTTTCAAATCTACACCGTGTGTACTTTATAAGTTGAGTGAGTTGAGGAAAGGGAAGTGTGCACCAATCGAAGATTTTTTTTTTAGGATCTTATCACATTTCATGATTTTAAAAACTCATCCAGCATCCATATTAAAAGTTTAATTCAGTGATGGTTAATGTTTTGTGGTTCACTGCATCTGAAACATGTAGAGAAGTACTTTACATGTGAATGAATGTGAATGAAACCACACCTCTAAAGGCCCCTTTAAACGTCCCAAACGAAAGATATCAGTAATGAGTGAAATGTGGTGAAATCTTTGGTTGTCGAGACAAGTCCATTTGTGACTTGCAATGAACTTGCAAGATTGTTATCGTACAGTGTTGAAGTGCCCTAAGGTCTTTGTCTTACATTAGATATACATTTTCATTTTAAGATCAGATTCTTGTGTTTGAGGTTATCAGAATTTGGGATTAGTCAATGTTTATTGTTAGTTCAGCCTATCATTAGTCAGTCTGTAATGAGTTCACTTACCGCTATGAAGTGACTCAACGTGCTGTTTGTGAATCATAAGATTTGATCATTAGTGTCTAATGGTTGTTTTTTTGTGTCTTTACCAGGTGGTGTGGATAATCTTTTACACAGCTCTACATTTTGACTGAGAGGAATCCATTGGACACTTAAATACAAACATTTCTGTTGAAGTAAATTGTCAAGACAGAGGAACTCCATGACTTGAGGGGTGTCAACGCTCCTACATACAGTATGACTTTTCAGTGTGCAGTGCATCATGGGAATCCTAGTTCGATTTAACAAGATCCTGCAACACCACCGTGATGAACATGTTCAAATACTGTACATCTCTCTAATTTGGGGGTTTCCTTTTTAAGGCACCCTCCATTACACTTCCCATATGTTCTATTTCCTTCCTCACTCCATTGTCGTCATCTCTGACTAAACACTAACGAATACAGAAAGCAAATAGCTCAGCTGAGATTGGTTGCAGTTCACCTTTTTTATGTAAATCAGAATAAGGATTCTTTCGTCTTTGTTGGTTTACTACAGGCCTTTCTTCAGTTTTAGAAGAGTGACATGAATGCAGATATTAATTTAAAAATAACAATCAGTATGTGTTTTCATCCTAACTGCTCATAAGCTCATCACTTAAGTAACAGGAACTGGGCAATAAAATAAATTCTCACCGTATAGTCGTTAGGGTTCAATCAGTCCATGAGTGTAAAGTGTTACCTTTTTCATTTAGGGACAAAGCGCACCATGTTGGATGTTTAAAACTAACTGTAAATTATTAATTCTGTGGCTTCACTGTTAAATCACCCCTCTGAAATTTCATTATGATATGTTTGCCTTTTAAGAAAATCTGACAAAATACTTAAATATTAACTATAACTTAATACTTAGTTAAGTAGTGCCATAGCAGTAAGCACATTATAGGTTACTGTTAATGTTACCAGCTACAGTATGTGTCTGCAGACTCATCTGTTTTCCTGAAATAGTGATAGGTGACGCAGAGCCTCAGGTTTTGATTTGTTTTTTTTTTCTCTCACTGCATATAAACAATGCATTTTTGAATAAAATCTGTCAATTGTTATTTCTTCTAAAGGGTCTGGTGTCCAACAAATGTGAAAAACATGTAGCTAACCGCAGCTGAGATCTCACTCCTACTAATTTTAACATCAAAAACAAATGCTGGTGGTAAGATACACATATCAGCTGTTCTCCAATCGTGATGCAGGTATCTGCCAGTAGTATCAAAGCGCTGTTACTTCAGTCAGGAACTTATAACCAACCAAGTTATCTGTCCATTTCAATTATTTCCTCCAAGTAAAGGGGGAGGAAACATGCATGCCGTTTCAGATGCAAATGTTCACAGATTTGAGCTAAAAACTGATCTGTGCACTGCCATGACTTGCTGTTTGTATATCTAGATGTCATTTAATAATGGCGTTAGTTAGGAGTGTAGACATAATTTAAATTTATTATTTTCTCACATGTAGCTTCCAGATCAAAGTCTTACCTGTTGTTTTTGAAATTAATTTAAACTTGTATGTAAATTCTGTACAATGTCCCTTTTGTCAAATCCACCTTGTATTACACAGATTTATTTGTACTTATGTTATATCTTGTTTGATGTAACATATTTCTCAGTATTTTATATTGAAGAACTTTTAAAAACAGTTCTGGCAAAGTTCTTGTAATGATACTGTTATATTAGATACACAGCTGGTGTTTGAAAGGATTGTATTTTCTGATCAAATCTTTTGGGAATCATTAAACATGGGCTTTATTTGGCCTCCATTTTCAAAGAGATGGTATCTTTTTATCGAAAAGTAGAAGAACTTTTAGTGTATTACTTTTTGTCAGATGATTAATTCAGTGATTTTTTCTTTCTTTTTTTTGGCATGTACCTTCAAAGTGGAATTACTGCATTGTACTGCTATTTATACTTTATACTTTTTTCCATACAATAAAAACCCATGTCAAAACAAACAAAACAAAAATAGATGAAGGAAAAATAGAAACGATTAAATGAAAATACTCGTTATTAAACAATGAGATACAAAATTAAAGTTTTGAGCTGTGTTGGGAAAAGTATCAAAATCTTTTACTTGACGAACAGAAGCAAACATGACTCAGTAAACATAATCCCTTACAAAATAAAGTGCAGCAATTTGTAATTTTACTTTTACACAATGAAATATAAGTTGCAGCCCCTTCATGCAACATAGACAAAGAATGCACAAATATATAAATTAGAACAGTATAAATAGTATTGACTTGCATACACATGTACACGCATAAAGTGTGTACAGTGTGAGCAATGTTGAGTCTCACAGCTTGAAGGAAGAAGCTGCTCTGTAGTCTGGTGGCAGATATTTCTGTACGGATTGCCAGACGGCAGCAGGGTGATCAGGCTGTGTGACAACATGCACTTTAAATTTGAATTAAAAGTATTCATTGGATGGCAGAATGCCCCTGTCAAGAGTTATATTACTAGATCATTATTATTTATGTATTACTGATGCGTGTGTATATAATTTGTATGTTAAACCCTGATCTTTACAGTAAATATAGCCAGATAGCCAGATTTATGTAGTGGAGTATAAAGGACAATATGTCTCTCATTAATGTTGTGGAGAAGAAAGTACTTGAATGAATGTACTTTATTACTTTTCACCATTGGCTACTGGTCAAAACCTTGACATACTGTACTTAAGTCAATAGTCAGATTTTTTACCATTTCAATTCAATTCTGTTTTATTTTTATAGCGCCAATTCGTGACAAAAGTTATCTCGGGACACTTTTCAAATAGAGCAGGTCTAGACCTTAGACTCCTTATAACATTATTTACAGAGACCCAACAGTTCCCACCATGAGCAAGCACCTGGCGACGGGGGCAAGGAAAAGCGTCCTTTTAAGAGGCAGAAACCTGGGACAGACCCGGCTCTAGGTGGTCCTAGAGTTAGTATCTAATATCACTGATTATCTTTCTGAAGTTTTCCTGTTGCAAATGGGCCTTAATAATACTTACAACCTTGTCCTAACTTGATTTTTTGCCACGTTTTACTGCAGCAGGCGTTTATGTCCCACACAGGAAGGCCAGTACTCCTTCCTTGTGTCTATCAGAGCCCTGCACTGCTCTTTTACCTTGTCGGCACCTGCTGGAGAACAATGCATTTTCCAGCCGACTGTTTTTGCAAACGCGTTGACATCATTCATAAAAAACCTCCGAAGAAAGCCCGGATCATGACGTCATCTACACAAGTTTAAAAAAAAAAAAAAAAAGTGACGTAGAAGCCAAGATGGCGGCTCCCCTTTCCACGATGAAATTTTGGAAGCCGGGTAAGTACGAAGAAAATGTCTAAATGCGGCATTTTCTGTACGTTTTTGGGTTTGTATTTAGAAACGCACCGCTGCTGATGTGTTTGAGTCGGTCTCCGTTTGGCTGCTGCGGCGTTCAGGGACGCTGCGTGATCTCTGCAGCCCAGTTCAGCTCAGCTCGGATAATATAGCTCTGCGGAATCAAAGTATAACCTGCCAAAATAAAAACATACAAGCTGGGAGGCGGAAAAGTACGACAGCTGCATGAATTTACGCGATCAAAACTGCACCGGTGAAGGGTTTTCGTCGTTCATAGGTCCTTCGTTTCATGTCTTGGCATTGCACTAAACCCTGGCTGTCATCCTCCTAAATCCTCAACCTGCTTACATTTAAATAAAACATCTTATCTTCCCCTTCACCATCTGTTCTGCTCCAGGGTCTGAGGCACCGGGGATCTCAGAGGAGCGGGAGCTCAACACAGAGACCACTGGCTCCCCCATCATCTTCAACCCGCACACCGCCCTCTCCATAGAGAAACAACGACAGAAACTCCCCGTTTTCAAGGTTTTCACATGACTTTAAAACATGCATGTAACAGTAAGGGTGGCGGAGTGGGTTGGTGTGGTGTGCCTGTGATGTTTAATTGTTGATTATGAACTTTTTTTTGTGGTCAATTCTGTCCTATTCAGCACAGAAACAACATCTTATACTTGGTGGAGAGCTTCCAGACTGTCATCATAGTTGGTGAGACAGGATGTGGGAAGACAACACAGATACCTCAGGTTAGTATAATCCTTGCAACTTGAAAAAAAAAAGCATTTAATATGAGTCAGTTTGGGCGTGTAGCGTTTGTTATCTGCCTCTGAAAATGATAGAAATGCCCTCAAAGTCACACATGCACCAAATCTACCAGCTAAAGGTGCAACATTGCCGCAGTGGACTGATACCCTTCATGTGGCTTAACTCCCATCGTGGTTTTACACGACCTTGTCTTGATGCTTAGTGGCCTGTTTTTCTCTTTTTTTTTAAAGCAGGGTTTAATTTATGCAGAATCTGCTGTTCTGCAACATCAGTGTCTCTATCTCATGCTTTGTACTCCTCTCCTTTTTTTTGATCTACCTTCTGAATCCTTTCAGTACCTGCTGGAGGCTGGATGGGCAGCGGAGGGGAAGGTGATTGGAGTGACACAACCTCGACGTGTGGCTGCTATCTCTGTAAGACCTCTAGTGGATGTTACTACTCAGCTCAATCGATGTTTGCCAATGTTGTTTCACTGGGAAAAGTGAAGGACACACGCCTGTTTCCTCTTTTCTTGCTGATAGGTAGCTAATCGTGTAGCAGAGGAGCGGGGGGCACTGCTGGGACATGAGGTGGGCTACACCATCCGGTTTGACGACTGCTCCGATCCCCACGCCACAAGGATCAAGGTATACAGACGGGGGCCACCCCATTATCCTCACCTCTTCCACTCGTCTTTCAGAGGCTGGAGTGGGTTCTGTTTCAAAGCTAGATAAAGTAAGGCTAAATTTTGGTGATGGAAAAACTGGCATGGCCAATTTCAAAGGGACCCCTCGATCTCTGACCTCAAGAGATCTGAATGAAAATGGGTTTTATGGGTACCCACAAGTCTCCCCTTTGTAGACCTGCCCACTTCGTGCTAATCTCATGCAGTTTTGGGTGAAAACCATGCAGTGTGATAGAACTGTGTTATACCAGCGTCCCTAAACAGTATTGGAATTACATAAATTGGGAAGGACTGGAAGGCTGAGACACATACTTCATGCCACCCCAGTCAAAAAACATCTGGACGTGCTCCTATATACAGTTTGAAGTCTTCGTTACGAACTGTCCTGTGGTCCCTTTCAGTACTTAATTGTGCCTGTGCGCTTCAGTTCCTTACAGATGGCATGCTGGTGCGGGAGATGATGGCTGATCCTCTCTTGAAAAAATACAGGTACGTGATTGTAATTAATGCATCACAGGCTGTTATCGCCGTACGCCATGACAGTGTGACAGTGAGCCAGCATGAACAATCCCAGGCCCCTGAAACTGAGGCAGCTAAAAAGAATTCAGCCATCATTCATTTAGTAATTTACAGCTGTGCTTTTCCTGCTTTGACATGTCAAAATGTCTCCTGTTAAAAAACTTTTATTGGACTTATTTTTGTAATGAAGACTTTATTGGATTCACTCTAATGTTTTGTTGTTGTGCTGTTATCCTCAGCGTGTTGATGCTAGATGAAGCACACGAGAGAACCCTGTATACAGACATAGCCATTGGTCTACTAAAGAAGGTAATTCCAGCTGGTTCTGTCAGTGGAAGAAATTCAACTTCACTATTTCACTGTCATTTATACTTTACTAGCATGAAAACAATCCTAGAAAGTTGTCTTTTTCACTTTTAACCCTGACTCTACTTCTCTGTTCACACTGTTTTGTCTTCTCCGATTCCTCTTCTAGATTCAGAAAAAGCGGCGAGACCTGAGGCTGATTGTGGCCTCTGCCACTCTGGATGCCAAGGTGACTGCATCATTAAGATGAGCAGATATGCTTGATTAGCGAGGAGAGAGAAAACAAAGACAGACAGAAGGGAAAAGTTGATGTCAGGTCAGATCACATTGTACTGACATCTGCGATACACTGATGAAAGAAAGACACAATCGGGCCACGACTGTGCTCAGCATTAAACAAGTCAGCTGAAATGCCATATCAGACATCTACTGTACTTTCTGTTTAAAAAGGCTTTCATCTACACATGCACATTATTTAGTTATACTGCAGTTTTAAAAATGTCAGGTTGAGGGCAGCAAGAGTATTTTCTTTGCTTTGTTGCTGCAGAACAAGAATATTAACTTTCTCTTTAAATATAATCACAAATCAACTGTTTACTCGTGGCTGTGTAACATATTACAGATTAAAAATGTCTCATTAGTGTTCCATTTACTAACCAATATCACCTTCATCTGAAGAAATTCCATGATTTCTTCAACCTGAACGAGTCCGGGGATCCCAACAAAGACACGTGTGGAATTCTGACAGTGGAGGGACGCACATTTCCAGTGGACGTCTTCTACACTGTCAGGTAGTCATCGCACATAATCCAGTCTGAGGAAATGATGTATGATTTGTATATTTTGTTTTTAACTCTGACGTGTCTTTTGTTTGTTCTCAGTCCTGTCCCAGACTATGTGAAAGCCACAGTGGAGACGGTGCTGAAGATCCATGAGACGGAGGATGACGGAGATGTCTTGGCTTTTCTTACTGGGCAGGTTAGTGGCCATATCTTTCATACTACTCAACCTTTATTTATTAGTATTTAATTACGCTAGCACCACATTTGATATGTTGTTGGTCAATCTTTTTTTTCCCTTTTTGTTTTAAATGATCTTCTTATCATCATCCCTTATATGTTTCTCCTTTAGGAAGAGGTGGAGAAAGTGGTGTCCCTTCTGCAGGAACAGGCCAGGACTCTGTCAAGATATGGCA